GGAGCGAGGCGCGGGGTTGGCGAGGGGGAGGGGGGGGGGTGGGGGGGGGGGGGGGGGGGGGGGGGGGGGGCGGCTACACGGAAACGCTGCCATCTTACTTGTATCATAAATATATGTATATACATTTGTACGTGTGTGTTTAACAACAGAAACGCATCGACTCGACCGTAAAGACAAGCGAAAAGTGTCGACGAAGAGACGGCGTCGTCCGCAGAGCTCTTTACCGGGGCTTTAGCTTTAGCTTTAGCCGCCGTGACGTCAGAGGCACCGCAGCTCTGAACACTTCTCAGAATAGACTTCTAGGAAACGGTAAATTTTAAAAGCCCAGCCTTTACAGTCTGTCCTTCACACATTTGGATCCCGGTCTGGCGACAGAACACTCCAGCCGACGCTGCTCGCTCCTCTCTCGCTCCTCTCTCGCTCCTTCCCGAGTGTTTTCTATTAATTTCGCCTGATTCTCTAGTTTTTCTAACGAACTTCAGAAGCTGCGGTTCTCATACGCGGAAATCCTCACCGTCTTCACTGCGAGAGTCTCCGAATGAGCTTCTTTTTTTCACATCGAACCAAAAGAGCTGGATTTTCCCAACATTTATTTTCGAAAACTTTACGACAATTACTGTTTTTATTCTGTGAATAAATTTACGGCCCGAGTTTTTCCAGAAGGAATCGAGAGATATTATGATTCTTTGTGTCCCGAGGTGAGTGGACGTTTTTACGCTGTTATGAAACAGTTAAGTCTCCGAAGCAAAATGTACATTTTAAAAATTATTTTTAACGTAACTGTTAATTATAATAATTATTGTAACATTAAAAAGATCTGCCGCAATTAATTTATTTAATTCGTGTTTTTAATCGACTTGTATTTTTATTTAATTCGTTTATATTTTTCTTTATATTATATAATTTTATACATTGTGTAAAATATTATTCGCCGTCCTTTATTTATTTCGTTCTTATTTAAATTAACAGCTTCTGTGATAATGTTAAAAATGTGTCACGACCTTGTTATCAGTTAAAGTTAAATGTTTAAGACAGATTTATAAATATATGTTGCAGAATTTACACGTAAATACAAAGTAGAAACGGCCGTTAATGCTTAATTCTATATAAAATAATAATACAGCTGATAAAAAGGGACAGAACATGGATTTCCAGTTTTATGATCATATTTTTAGGCCTAACCTAATTTTTTTTCTTTAATTCCAAAATGTTTGTCTTGTTTTTAATTAATTAATTGACCGTTATTTGTTTGTCATCAATTAAGAATTGTTTTCAACTTCACTGTAATTTTAATATTTTTTTATCCAATAATAATAATAATAATATTGAGGTTGTATTTGAATCTGTATTTTTATTCCCAGCCCTAGAACTCTTCTGCCAGCTGCCCTGTCCTCTGAAGCCCCCCAGGGTATGCGGACTGGAACAGTAGCGTCCAACCCCTGCCTCCCGAGCACCCCTCCAACATGGGACCCCACAAAAGACCTTCGAGCCATCGCTAGCAACTTCTGTTATCTAGAAAATTCCGGTATGAGCACGAGAAAAAATGTGCACGCATTTCCAGCTGCTGAGCATTAAAAAAAAACAACAAAAAAAACTCTTTTTCCTGGAAATTTCAATTTCCAGTGACATTCCTAGTGACCTGCCGTACGGCGCAGACACAGCTCAGAGTATTATTGTTCGGTTCATGAACTTTAATGGCTGTAATGTGTGAGTGTGAGCGGCTCGACTCATGTTCTGGGTTCTGTCTTTGTGCAGGCTGGTACTGGGGGGCAGTAACGGCGGCTCAGGCACACGCTGCCCTCCAGGAGGCGTGTGAAGGAGCCTTCCTGGTGCGGGACAGCAGCCACCCCATGTACATGCTGACCCTCTCGGTCCGGACCGCACGGGGTCCCACCAGTATTAGGATCCAGTACAGCGGCGCTCAGTTTTTGCTGGACTCCAGCTCGCCGGCCCGGCCCAGCCTGTCGTCCTTCCCCAGCGTACCCAGCCTGGTGCAGCACTACATGGGGCAGGAGAAGAAGGCGGAGGAGGGTAAGATGGAGGTGGAGGCGCCGTCCAAACCCTCTCAGCAGACGATCCAGGAGACGTCAGTGGTACTCAAACTGAAGCGGGCCGTGTACAAGCCCACGGGCCTCCCGTCTTTACAGCACCTCACACGCCTGGTCATCAACACACACTGCGACTGCGCCGACCAGCTTCCACTCCCACGGCCTCTGCTGCGTTTCATCCAGGACTATCCTTTCAAGGTATGAGGAGTTGGACCAGATCTTCAGAGTCGAGATCTTGGTGCAGCAAACTCAGAGACAAACAACGGTCAGAGCCGCTGACCGGAGCCTGACGGATGACGAGTGACGGTCGGTCCCAGGAGGAAGAACTGGACACAGGGTCAAACATTTTTTACTGAAGTCATTTGTACAATTTCAGGTGAAACTGACGTGTCTGACGTTGGACTCAGTCTGTGGAGGACTGAGGGGTGAAGTGTCCCACAGAGGGGGGGGGGAGAGGGGGAGAAAGTCAGTACTGTACTCTACACTCATTCTGTGGTGGATGTGGAAATTGTCTGTTTGTATTTTACTCTCCTCAGTTCAAGGTGAACATTTTATTTCCTGGACACAGATTCCTTTGAACGCATCGTTTTATTTTGTCACATATTTTCTACATTTTACAAATGTTCATTTTTTTCTATTAAAACAAGCATTTTCAGTCTGACGTTCTCCACTCCTCCTGTCTCTGTCTCTCCTCACAGGAAGATTCTGTCTTTGTTTTAATGATCATTCACTACAGTGAACACTTTTTCCCTGTAGCCATTTTCCTCGTTAATCTTCTTTGAAATGCAACAACTCCGTGGCCTTTGAGCTCCTTGTGTGAGCGAGGCCGTGAAGGCCACAAAGAGTTTTTTTTTTTTTTTTTTTTTTTTTTCTAAAATGCGCGCAGCCTGCATCTGAGTCAGCGAATGAACGGGCGGAGGGGAGGGCCGTTCATTGGCAGATTCACAGAACTGCCTGGTGCTTCCAGGGAGGAGGCTGAGATTCTGAGAGGGTGGCTTCTGAGAAAGCCTGTGTAATTACCTTCAGCTTTGAGCCTGCTTTTGTGTTCTCTGACACACATTTGTATTAGGGAACAGGGTGTGACCGAGAATCTGACTGGATCAGGAGAACGCTGCAGCTCAGGAAGGTGATTTTTGCCTGGTGTGATTTGTGGCGTGCGGCTCAGATGGCTTAGTGGAGCCGACCGCGGCTAAAGCCGGAGTAATAGGATCTCAGCTTCTCATTTCACGTCCAGCTCTCGCTGCTTTTTCTGAAGAACACAGAATCGAGGCCTGAAAAACAAAAACAAACCTGTGTTACCGCTGCTGGGTGTTTTTTTTTTTTAAATTTTTTTTTCCCCCAACACTGCTTGAATGTCACACATTAACAACGTGATTACAGCAGCACCACGCCGCCGCCGCAGGTTCACACAGGGATAATGGTACAAAGGTGGGAGGCATAAAAGGCTTTTGTTGGAGGACCTGCTGTTGATGTCGGGCCGTGTCTCCACATAACGCAGCTCTGCCACATTCGCCTCCACCCACTGCTGGATGAGGGGGGGGTGTCGGGGGTCCACCTCCAGATAAATGCCACTGGTATTCAGAGGAGGGAAAGGACACAAAAAAGACAGAAAAGTGTGATTGTCATCAGGGGTAGAACCACAGCCGCGGCTCGGGTCTGAGCGGCTCGGGTCTGAGTCTGTCCTGGACTGTGTCCAGTTCTGAGTCTGAGTCTGGACTGGGTCCAGGTCTGGGTCTGGACTGGGTCCCTATCTGGGTCTGGACTGGGTCCCTATCTGGGTCTGGACTGGGTCCAGGGCTGAGTCTGGACTGGCCTGGGTCCAGGTCTGAGTCTGGGTCTGGACTGGGTCCAGGTCTGGTTCTGGACTGGGTCCAGGTCTGGTTCTGGACTCAGTGGAACTTTAACTAAACTCAACTCATTAAGACGGCAACATGAGACGCATGTTTTTCTAGAACATGCTGTTCTTATGACAAGCCGCTGCTGCCGCTAGGAATTGAACCCAGGTGGAGTGCTGTGTGTGTGTGTGTGTGTGTGAGGCCGAGCGGTTCCTCACCCACGGTCGGACAGAATCTTCGGAGCCACCGTCAAAATCTGTTTGATCACTGTGAGGCCGTCGCTGCCTCCGTCTAAAGCAAACGGGTCTTCGAACCTGCAGCAGGAGAAAAGTGGACGTTTTTTAACACGTCTTTCATCATCAACAAAACTGTTTCATCTTTTAATTTAGTTTGTCATCAGCTCCTAAAAGATCTGGATGTTTGAGAAACTATGTTTCTTTTCATTTTTTTTAAATTTAATTTTCCAACTGCAAAAGAACATCAAGAAAAAAAAAACCCAACCCCAAGTCCGACATGTTTTGTTAATGTTCTTGGCAGCAGACCTGAGGTCAGTGAGTGAAGCTGGAGAGGAAACATTAAGTGTGAACAGATCTAAATTTAGCCCCGTCTCCACAGATCAGGTCTCTCTGCCCTGGACTCAGTTTTCCTCTGAATGAAACTCAAACTTGTGCTAAAATATTATTCCACCTGTGACGACTTCAGCGTTTAAGCATTTTATTCATTTATTTCTGATTTTTGAAGTGTGTGTTTTAATCACCTAAGGATTTCTGGTTCCAGGGTCTTCACATCGTCAGAGAACAGGTACGGAGGGTTACTGACCAGCACAGACACAGGGCTGCAGCGGCTGCACGCCTCATCGGCCTCTGGACACAGGTGCAAATGTTGACAAGCTCTGTGTTTGTTCAGATCTGTTTTGTTGACCACAGTACTGCACCTGTCATAAAGTCCAGATGATGAATCTGGATTCTGTCCTGAAGCTTCAGTCTGTGGAGGTGAAACACAAGCAGTGATTGGATGATGAGGACGTTAACGAGCTGAGCTGATGAGCTACCTGCTGGCGTTCTCTTTGGTCAACTCCACGGCTTCCTGACTGCGATCCAAGGCCACGACTTGAAGCTGTGGAAAAAAAAGGAGACCGAGCAGTGAGTTCTTTTTCTCTGAAGCCATTATGAACTATTTTCCCCTGAACGGCACCAGCGCTGCTGTCAGCGATGACATCATCGAGCCGTTAATGAAGCAGCTCTGAAAACTGAAACTGCATTTAGATAATGATGTCATCAAAATATTTATAAACAGACTAAATGTTTGTCCATAGAAAACAAGAGGAACTTGAACGCCTCACCTGAGGGCAACTGGACAGCAGGCTGAGAGAAACTGCCCCAGAACCACATCCTACCTCCAAACACGTCTGCACCGTGTCTCCAGAGCTGGGTTTGTTTTTTAGATCAGTGAGCACCAGTTCAACCAGCTCCTGAACACACACACACACACACACACACACACACAACACAGTTGTATACAGTACATCTGAATTTTACAGTGTGTGTGTGTGTGTGTGTGTGTGTGTGTGTGTCCTACCTCAGTCTCAGGTCTTGGTATGAAGACAGGAGGCCTCATGGTCAGGGTCAGATCCCTGAAGTCCCATTCCTGGATCACGTACTGCACTGGCATCCTGCAGCACAAACAGGAGGTGACGAGAAATCAAATGAACCTGTAACGACTGGACGGTCAATAGACTAATGATGCTAGCGTTATGTAAGTACTATGTTATAAATGAGAGTATGTGAAGTACTGTACTTGTGTGGTCTGAGTACCTGGACAGACGTTTGGTGCAGAGCTTCCAGATCTGCTCGGTTTTTTCTCGGCTCAGAAACTCTGTCAACTTCCTCTGCTCTAGACTTTCAATCTGACAGAAGAAACAAACAAACAAAAGAAACACACATGAAAAAAACTCAGACGTTACATCAGAGCATGAATGATGAGCTCAGAAAACGTACAGTTTTTCCTCCCAGTGAATGTGCGACGATGTAGTGGCTGGAGAGATCGGGCTCCGTCACTCCGCTCTCCTCAAAGTGCTTCTTCCAAAACTCCAGGGCCTGGAGGGCCGTGATCCTGCCCACGGGCAGGGCAGGGGGGCTGCAGGTGTGCAGTGAGTGGAACTGTCCACGTCTCTGACAAACGAAACAAAACCAAGAAAAATGAAAATGTAGAATTGTAGTATTGTTGTAATACAAGAAAGATCGATCTGTTCATATATTTGATTCAAAATGAAAGGAATTATTGGAATATAAGAGAAATCATGTTTAAGGTCAGTAATAAAACATTACATTGTTATTAATTAATATGTTATTATACTTTTATTAGATTGTTCGTTATTATCATTGTTGTTGTTGTTGTTATTATTAACACCCTTGGAGGTAAGGTGAGGAAATAGAGTCTGTAGTTTTTAGTTTTTAGTTTAGTTTAAAAGTATTCTACTGAGGAGTTTAGTCCATGAACAAATGTAGAATGTTTTTAACAAGTTCAGGTTTTTGGTTTTGGTTATTGGTAACACTTTTATTGTTTTGTTCCACTGTGGGCCCACCCGCTAACTCGATTCCCTGGAAACAATAAAAAGGTTAGTTACCTTTGCTCCAATACTCCCGAAGCCAAAACATCTGCAGCCTGCACTCAGTGACCTTCTCCACATGGTTTATCTAAACAAACACCCTCCTGTCTGCCCTTCACATGCTCCTATAGGTTTTACAGTAAAGTCCCGGTGGTGCCGTACACTGTCTACTGTCTACTTATATACTTCTCTAATACACCAGCTGCGCCTGTGGCCATAAAGTCGAATTATTTAAATTAAAATATCTCCTTTAGTTGGACTACACTCTCCCCACCAAGGTTGATAGTACTTCCTACAGTTTTTTTTCTAAAATATTTCACGTGGTACGAAACGTCTTCTGATGCGCCGCAAGGTGCGCAGTACTGACCCTCGTCAACACGTTGTTGCATTTAAAGACTGTTGGACAGAGTAAAACTAGATATGTGAAACGCACAAATAACGGAAACTATGTAGAACTAAAATGCAAAAATAAATTTATTGCCAAAACTTTTTATAGTTTATAGTCAAACATATACATACATTAAATTCAACTACTTTACAATAGCAAATTACTTTCAAATTATCAAAATAATATATCGACATGGAATCCAACGGACAGACTGAAAAACTAAACCGAACAGAAATATTTTGAAATCTAATGTATGTTGTTTATCAAACTATTACCTGGTCTTGTAGTCAGTAATGTTTGTTAAAACTAGTGTGAACTTCCTGGGTAAAGGGTAGAAAGTTTTTTAACTTATATTGGGCAACTTCCCGAGAGGCTATGAAGGCACCGCTACTGGACGTGTTGTTTGTTGCACATTGAATATGTTGATATTTTTTGTTTTTAGAGCTTTTCATTGATTCTGTTTTGGTTAGGTCAAAAGAAAATATATATCGCAAACATGCCAAGCTAAACGTACGGAAGAATATGTAATAGGTAAATAGTTATAAGGATATTATCAGCCATACAAAACTAAGGCTAGAGCTAACACCTAGCTTCAAGTGCAGCAGAGAAACAAAGTTTGTTGTTAGTCCATGTCTCTGCCAAACATGACCACTCGAATTGAGTGCATATTTTTCAGCGAGTTTCACCCGACGCTGGGTCCAAAAATCACATATCAGGTAAGTGTTTGAGTTTTATTTTATCACAATAACACGATAACAATTACTATTACAGTCGCTGTAGGATTCATTTATCATTTTAGTCTTTAGTGAAATCTAGTTGTTAATAACATAACGGCTAATAAGACGATTATGAAATATTTGGGGTTTGGCCATTTTTTGTTGAACAGCAAAAATAACATAAATGATATACATTATATATTTAATTGTAATATTATTAACAAATGCTTTTCTAAACACTCGATCGATGGACTAGAAATCCTAATTTTAACTATTTAATTTTCCCACAGGTTCCAGAGGAATACATTTCACGGGAACTCTTTGACACAGTTCAGGTTTATATCATCACCAAACCAGAGCTGCAAAACAAACTAATAACCGTGTATGTGATTCATATGTGTTTGTTCTAACAATGGAATGTTCTGTTGATCATCATGACCGTCAGCCCAGCCTGGACTCTTATACTCTGTGTTTGTGTTGTAGCACTGCTATGGGGAAAAAGCTGATTGGCTGTCCAGTGTGTATTGAACATAAGAAGTACAGCAGAAACGCCCTCCTGTTCAACCTTGGCTTCGTCTGTGATGCCCAAACCAACACGTGTGCCCTGGAACCAATCGTTAAAAAGCTGTCAGGATACCTGACCACACTGGAGGTAATGAAATAATAACAGTGTCACGTCCATGTCACCGGTGATATCATATGTTCATTTCTATGTTCATTTGTTTTTTCTCTGTCTCGTGACACAGTTAGAGAGTGGCTTCATTTTTAATGAGGAGAGCAAGCAGAAACTTTTACCCATCATGTCGACCTTGATGGAGGATCTTAACGCCACCGGAGCCTGTACTTTACCTATTGGTATGAGTTAGTTTTGTATGCATTTGTATGTGTGAAAATAAACAATGTTCATAATCACTCTTTTGTTACTAAACATATTTGTACTGACTGCTAAGTGCAAAACACATAAACTGTCCTTTTGTTTTTTACAGCAGTGTTAATGTTAATGTTGGCTCTGAAGAGGAACTTTATTTTATTTTTAATCTTGTCTGATGTTTCTGTTTTGTTTTTCTGTTGTAGACGAGTCAAATACTTTCCACCTGAAGTTAATTGAGATTCGAAAAGACCCGCCCGTCGTTCAGGAGTACGATGTTCCCGTGTTTATACAGTGTAAAGAGCATTTTATTAAACCTCAGTGGGATCTCACCACTCAGCAGGTAGGGTTGAGAAGACTTCAACAATTTGAAAAAAAAAAATACAACTTCATTTCTGTGGTACTGACCAGAGAGGCTGGTACGGGTCAGTGTAACCAGGACAGGAATGTTGTACTCTACTCTCAGATCCTGCCCCTCATCGATGGATTCAGACACATCCAGAAAATCGCAGCTGAAGCAGATGTTGAGCTGAATCTTGTTCGCATTGCAGTGCAGAATCTCATGTACGTATGTTTTAACCAGCAGTTGGTTGTTTGTTGTACTTCTTATTTGACTCCGTCCAATAGTTGCGGCTCAGTTCCGTACAGTCTGTTAGGGCTGATTACAGTTTTGATCAGATTAATCACAGGGTAGCTGTGGATTAATGATTACTAGACATTAAACACTCACCGTCTTCTTCTTTCCAGATACTACGGCGTTGTGACCTTGGTGTCAATATTTCAGGTACTGCGTCACTATTTGACCATAGCTGTCACTTTATTTTGATTTAATTTTTTTCTTTGGTCTCTAATACTGCGTCACTGGACTGTAAACAGCTTCACAAATATTTATTAACATCTTGAGAATTTATCATTCTGAACAGTTGATTTTTCAGCATCTATCTATTAGTGCTAAAAGTTCACAAATTTAATGAAAATATTTCTGTATTTTCCGTTTTCCTTTTTTGCGAACCATTTCCTCTGCAGTACTCTAACGTGTACTGCACCACTCCTAAAGTCCAGAGCCTGGTGGACGACAAGTGTCTCCAGGCAGAGTGTTTGAGCTACGTCACCAAACAGGGTGAAGAGCTTTTTAAATGTCTGCTCAAAGTAATCTTTGTGTTTGTCTGTTCAGAGATGTTCGTTTCACTGTAGTTGTTTGTTTTTGTGTGTCAGGTCAGAAGCAGGCCAGTCTGAGAGACGTGTTCCAGCTCTACTGTGGTCTGAGTCCTGGAACCACGGTACGGGACCTTTGTTCTCGCTACGCGCAGCAGCTTCAAAGGGTCGATGAGAGGTCAGCGTCACTGGCAGCACTTCCTTAAAACGGTTTCTACACCCGAGGTCAGTTTTTGATTTGTGTGTGTGTGTGTGTGTGTGTGTTCATGTCATGTGTGCTGTGGTGTGTCAGGAGGCTGATCCAGTTCGGACTCATGAAGTCTCTCATTCGACGGCTGCAGAAGTTTCCGGTGAAGGTGGTCCGTGATGAAAGGAGCCGTCCCCCGCGGCTCTTCACTGGTCTTCACAGCTATGATGAAATCTGCTGCAAAACAGGCAGGTGTCCAGCCTCCTGCTGACCAATCAGCACCAACGCCTGTTTGACCAATCAGCACCAACGTCTGTTTAACGTCAAATATAATGTTTTAATGCCGACTTTTTGGTTGTTGTGAATTCACAGGCATCAGTTACCAGGAGCTGGACGAACGGTTGGAAAATGACCCAACGATTGTGGTGTGCTGGAAATGACGTGATGTCACAGCCAGAGACGCCTTCAGTCAGGAGACGTCGAGGTTGAGGAGTGAAATAGAAAAAATATTTTTTATTTAATATAAAGACATTTATGGAAGATGATATTTATAAAAGTTGTAAAATTGAAAATTGGTTGAAAATTAAAGATTTTAGTGAAGCAGTTTGTTGTTATAACTATAGTATGGATTGACTCATTCAACTCACTCTACCTTATGTATTTGTGTGTATATGTATGTGTATATATATATATACTGTATATACATATACACACAGTATATACTATATATACATATATAGTATAAACATTATTTATGTATTACCTGACACCAGTACATTATACTTTAATAACCGAGATAAAAGTCAATTTTCTTCTGTTCTTTGTTTACATCCATCAGATCAAAGCAGATGTGTGATCTCCAAATACGTAGTGATTAAAAACCAGGATCAGACAAGACAACTGGAACCAAACCTAAATCCATCTCCAACTTTTGTCAGAGTCAAAGGTGACCAGTGTCTCCAGGAGTTCATTCACTGACGTAGATACAGCAGCTCAGTTCATGTTTAAAAACAGTTCTGAACCTTTTGACGTTAACCTTTCTTCACTCATTGAGCTGGTTCAGCACTGGTTAGTATGTACCCAGAAGTAGTAAAAAGACTGTTAGTTAAACATTAACTAGTTCATAGAAAAACAAGGTCGTAGTCGTTGTTCTTTTTCTTAACGACAGTTACTTTAGGTTCACTGGGAAAACAGTAGAACAAGAAATGGTCGACAAAAGTAAATGTTATGACAAAAACTTGAAAAAAACCCAGAAATTTTAGGGCTGTTTAAATGTTTACATTCATTTTAACATTCCCTTTTTAACTTGTTTTATGTCATAAATTCCATATAAAGACATAACTGTTATGATGTCCAAAAATAATTTACAACTGTATACAAGGATGACTACAGCGAGGATGACAAATAATTCCCTGTCAGTCTAAGACTTTTTACTGTTATTTAATGTAAAATAAGAACTCTTCATAGAAAATGTAGTACGGTTAGAAATGCACTCTCTTTAAAAGCAGTTGTTATTTTTTTGTTTTTGATATTTGTTTTAATATTTGCCAAAAAAGAATTTAAAATTATTTAATTATTTTTGTTTGAAAAACTTTAGAGCTTCCATTTAAATGAAAATCAAATTAAAACTTAAATTTACGAAGTGAAAAAAATTAGAAAAATTACAAGATAATAGTCAATATTTTGTTCTTTATTATAAGAATATCGCGAACAATATCAGTGTCAACGGTAAATGCTCTCAGGTGAAACTGCGGCGTTGCAGCGCTCCCCTGTGGTGGAAGACGGCATCTTCACTTCCTGTGAGTGTGGTGTGGTGTAACTATGGCAACTCGCCACTACACAAATACGAAGGACAGTTAAATTAAACTCAAGTGAAAAAGTGACCCAGAAGTTCGGCTGTTTACTGATTTGTTTACGGCAGTGATTGTTCGTCGACGTCATGGAGTCGTCTGTGATCCTGCCTGCTGAAGCTGAAGGCTTCGTCCAAAGTCTGGAGACTTTCCCTCTGAAGGAGGTCGGCTCTCCCAGGTAACCAGAACGACCACAACACAACGAGTGAACAAAAGAAAAAAAAGAAGCTTTATTGTTATTCACTGTCTTTATGAGAACATTATATTAATTGTTAAATAGAATCTGGGGTGAGGATCTGAATATTTCGTCAGGCATATGTTGGTGAGCCCCTGATTGGGGTCCTCGTTATGTGTGTTCTTCCAGAATATTAGTAAGAGTTTTGATTTTTTTTAAAAAGTCAAAACGCCTCCGGTTTCCTGGTCTTCATGTGACCGGAATCCGCCGACGGCTGAAAAGGTTCAGAGTCCAGAAATAATCATTCTTAGAAACTTAATTTGACTCTATCTCATCTATGTTTTTATCCTGTTCGGTTATATTCCATCATACGGAGCCCCTAAAGGGACATAGGAGAATGAAACGTTTACTTATTTTCTAAACCCCCCCGGACTGTTTTGTGCCCTACACTGTCTTTTATCACTGTCTATTATAGAACATTTGTTCTACTTCCACTCCTTCTAGTTTATAGAATATTACCATATGGTTGTAAAGTATGGTGTAACAGTAAAGTTCATCTCTGTTTTACCTTGTGTGTCGTCAGGTGGTTCAGGCAGCACGAGTTCATGGAGAAACTCAACATGCAGGCCATACTGAACGCCTCGGCCATGCATGATGAGTTCATCAAGGAGCTGCTGGTTTCATATGGAAAGGTGACTGTCCTCCTGTCTGTCCAGTCTGTGGATGAGATCTAAGAAGTGACAGTGATTATGATGTCTCTCCTCCTCCCTCGTCTCCTTCTTCTGTCCACTAGATTCCTCTCCTTGTCCATGAGATGATCCTCATCGAAGTGTGGAAACACAAAGTGTTCCCTGTCTTATGTCAGCTGCAGGATTTCAACCCCAACAGTACATTTCACCTGTACATGGTGGTGAGTGGAGGACAGGACTGTGAAATGATGCTGCTGCTGCTTCTGCTGCTGCTGCTGCTGCTGTTGCTGCTGCTGTTGTTGCTGCTGCTGCTGCTGCTGCTGACGGTCAGGAAGTCCTCATAATATTTGTCACTTTCTTTTCAGATTCACCATGAAGCCACAGTAATAAACCTACTGGAGACCATAATGTTTCACAAGGTCAGTGTAAAAACACAACAGTAAAAAAATACTGTAACGTTTCCATGTGAAATCTGATCATGTGATCCACAACAAAGATCAGGATCAGGATGTGGGTTGATGAAAGTCCAGTCTTTGTCCTCTGTGTAGGACTCCTGTGAGGCAGCAGAGGACACTCTTCTGGACTTGGTCGATTACTGCCACCGTAAACTCACCCTGCTGGCCAGCAAGGGAGTCACGGGGGAGAGCACAGCCACAGACAGAGACACCAGGAGAGTGAAAAAAGATGTTTCCTCAATAGAGGTAAAATATAAAGTTCCTCTGTATTCTTCAGGTTAGACGTATTTTCTACCAAATCCACCGTTTCCTGCTGGTTACAGGAGCTGCAGACTCACTGCACCGCACTGGAGTTTGACATCTCACTGAAAGCTGTGTCTGTGCTGCGCTACATCACGGATCACACCAGCAGGTAACGCCACGTCCTGAACTTCTTCTTTTTCTTTCGGCTTTGTCCCTTTTTTTTTCAGGAGTTGCTACAGTGAATCATTGATTTCCATCTCTCCCTGTTCTCTGCATCTCCTACTCTGACTCCAACTATCTGCATGTCCTCCATCACTGCATCCATATATCTCCTCTTTGACCTTCCTCTCTTTCTCCTACCTGGTAGCTCCATCTCTAACATTCTTCTACCAATGTCTCCACTGTCCCTCCTCTGCACATGTCCAAACCATCTCAATCTGGCTTCTCTGTCTTTTTCTCCTAACCTTCCTGACTGTGTTGTTTTTTTTTTGTTCAAAATTTATTTTTGAGAAATTTTTTTTTCTTGAAAAATGTTTTTTGAAACTTTTTTTTTGAAATTTTTTTTTTCGAAAAAATTTTTTCTTGAAAAATTTTTTTTTGAAAAATTTTGAGAAAAAGATTTTTTTTGAAAAAAAATTGAAAAAGATTTTAAAAAAAAATTTACATTTTCCATCATTTGTCTATTCAGTGTTAATTGTATTATTGTATTGATTTTTCTTTTTCTTTTTTTTGCAGTATCAGTGTCATCAATCGTATGCTGTGCACTCACAACGTTCCCTGTGTGCTGGTCCAGCTGCTCAGCTGCTGTCCGTGGACACGCTGCACAGAAGGTCCATCATCACAACATCCGCCTTAAAATGTTCGACCTTAACAAAGCCTATGGTTTTCATTCCACCGTGTCCTGGTTCAACCTGTAGGTGATGTAGAGAAATACATCAACAACAGGTGGCAGCAGATTCCTGTGGAGGATCATTTAAAGATGACCAAACAGGACGGACAGGTGTGGATCTCACTGTACAACCTGCTGCTGAGAGAAGACTGTCGGAGGAAGTATGACTTCAACACTTTCAACAAGAGCCAGCTCCTGAAGGTCAGAGGTCACAGGGGAAACTCCGATGGTTTTTATTCTTAACTTTTACCTCTGTTGTTTGTCAGCTGTAAACCAACGTTAAAGGAGTCGTGCTCTCTGTTTTCACGGAGACATTTCCTCCTATTATGTTCTGCTCGTCCTCTTCCTGATGGATTAAATATATAAACAGACGTCTGTGCATCCTCCGGCAGCCACCTTTTCCTTTCACCCATTTTCCTGCTTTAGAACTGGTTTTTATGATCGTTATTTACGTATAAATTAACCATTTACCAACCTTTTAGGAGGCATCATGGGGCGTGAACTATGGCAAAAAAACCAAACTTTCACAAATCGTCCGTACAGGTTATTCCTTGCTGTACGCTGTATGACTGTATTACAAAATGTATTTTTATTGATGTTATTTTTACTGTTTTTTTGTTTTGTTTTTAGGATAAAAATGCTTGTTTTATCACAAAAATAGTAAAAATTTGGAAATGAAAAAATTGTTTATATACCAAAAAAACGGTAGAGCGAAAAATCTGTAATTCAGCCGTTGTCAATGTGCCGCAGCTCCGAGGGTTCTTGACTGAGGTTCTGGTGGATCAGCTGCCCAATCTGGTGGAACTTCAACGTTTCCTGGCTCACCTTTCAGTCACAGAACCCGCTCCTCCAAAAAAAGAACTCATCCTGGAGCAGGTAAGTTCCTCTACACATGATTACAAAAGTTATTTTTTTAATTTATATAAATATTCCCGTCTGTGTAGATTCCTGAAGTCTGGAACCACATAGTACGTGAGAATTCTGGGAAGTGGAAGGCCATTGCAAAGTATCAAGTGAAAGAGATTTTCAACCCATCAGACGACGACCTCAGACTCCAGGCCCAGAGGTCGGACCGTGAACACTTAGCTGATGTAAAACTCTGTTTGTTCCTGAACAACTGTGTTTGTTTTTTTTTACTTCAGGTTGAATCAGACGTATAACTTAGATGTGATGGAAACTTTACTCCCTGAGAAACCCAAGTGTGGATCCTGTGGGAAGGAGGCTGCGAAACGATGCTCCAGATGTCAGGGAGAGTGGTACTGTCACAGGTGAGACCAGTGACCACACCAGTGACCACACCAGTGACCACACCAACAGAGACCAACATTCACACCAACAGCTCCACCTTCTGTCATGTGACACCAGCTGCTGCTCTGTTGTTTTCAGACAGTGTCAGGTGAAACACTGGCCTCAACACAGGAGCCAGTGTCGGCTCATGACTGAGGCCACGGAGAAGGTCCAGAGGAACCTGGAGGCCAGCACCTGAAGAACACCCATGTCACTCTGTATAAACTGATGGGGACGTCGGGTGGTCGTGTTTGACCTTTGACACCAGGTCTAAGTAGAAGAGACATGGATGTGGAAATGAATGTTTGAATTCAGGTATCAGTGAATGTTGTTGGAGACGACTTCACGACAAAGCTGAGAAAATAAAGCAGCTTCACTTCATGTTCACCACACAGTTATTGTATTGTAACTGTTGGAGTAGTCAGGGTGATAACCACACGTGTGTGTTTTATGGGTTTTGTGAGTAAATGTAGTTTCTGTTCTGTGATCGTCCTCAGAGCTACTTGACTTGTGACTAATGGATAATTCATTATCAGTGTAAAAATGGTCACAACAGTGAGTGGGGAAATATTAAAAGTTCATTTTCCCCAGGAATAGTTAGGCCACAAAATGTTGGCTGAAAGATGGACCTTAAATACATTTCATAAAAAAAACCCTCTGGTTTTCATGTTTTATTTCTTTAATTGTATTATTTTTAAACACCTTTATTTTGGTTTTTTTTGTGTGTGCTAAATCAACATTAACGATGTGGGACGGGGGTCGGCGGTCGGGGGGG